GTTCTAGCAGTGGGGGTCACAGGTGTTTTGGCCCCAGCTTTCCTTAGCTTGAGAGAAAATACAGTATGTTGCATGCAGTTCCATGTCCAAACACCAGTGGCGTTAATGAGTCGAATATGAAAAAGTCCAGCTTGAATCAAACTTACAAGTCGTGTTTCCATCCCATTTTAATTCAAATATTGAGTGAACTTTTAAAATGTTGCCAAAAAGAAAAAAAAGAAGAAATGTGAATCAGACGTGTTTCCATCAAATGGCTTGGAGTGAATCAACCAACATAAATGAGTAACATAAATGTCAGATATTTATGTTACACGTAAACATGAAGCAAAGTTGCAAACTTGCAGGGACAACACATTTCAGGACAAAGGAGAGAAGATATCAGGAACCTGCAGCTACTATCAGGAAAATTGTAATTTTCCTGTCATATCAACTAGTTTTGGCGATGTTACATGCTGTCTGGAGACGAAGATTAAAAAAATGTAATTCTATTCACGTTACGGGAACAATTGAAAGGACGCTGACAGCGAGAGGAGGGTCCAGCTGCAGACGCAGCTGGCGCCGGTACCAGAGAGCCAGTGGGAACAGCTGGTTAACCCTGTGAGGTAAATATTCACTACATCATAACTTATTCGGCAAATGTGTTTCCATCTCCCCTTTTGCGCATCAACCTTTAAAAGAAAACCCCAAAAACCACCTCAAGCGTATAAAGTTTTCTGCAAARTAGAGGACGTTTTTTCAAATCGTGCTGTTTCCATCCACCTTGTGGTACTTCAAAATACACATAAAAAACGTTGATGGAAACACAGAGGTCTTCATCTCTCCTTAAGAAAATGTAAATAACCCTGCAGAAAAAGTCTTTCAATGGCTGGATTTGCAGACTGGGGTGGTGGTCCCCCTGTTTAAAAAGGGGGACCGGACGGTGTGCTCCAATTACAGGGGGGTCACACTCTTAAGCCTCCCTGGTAAGGTCTATTCAGGGGTCCTGGAGAGGAGGGTCCGTTGGATAGTCGAACCTCGGATTCAGGAAGAGCAGTGTGGTTTTCGTCCTGGTCGTGGAACACTGGACCAGCTCTACACCCTCACCAGGGTCCTGGAGGGTGCATGGGAGTTCGCCCAACCTGTCTACATGTGTTTTGTGGACTTGGAGAAGGCGTTCGACCGTGTCCCAAGGKGGGCCTTGTGGGGGGTTCTCCGGGAGTATGGGGTACTGGGTCATTTGATACAGGCTGTCAGGTCCTTGTACGACCGGTGTCAGAGTCTGGTCTGCATTGCCGGCAGTAAGTCGGGCTCGTTTCCGGTGAGAGTTGGACTCCGCCAAGGCTGCCCTTTGTCACCGATTCTCTTTTTTGGATTTCTTCTCTGTGGAGTTTAATGTGAAAAACAAAAGTCAGACTGGTCACCTGACGTTATTCCTGGTCAAACTGGTGTGGGATTA